TATAGTGGAAAGTTTCCTAATCCTCCGTGACTTGAGAAGCTGACTGGAGGGAACCTGCTGTAGTGTGGAGGGTGTGCTGGGTGATCTGCCGGCTCCGGGAGGAGGGGTGAGAGAGGAAATCAGCAGTATCTGCAGGTTTTCTAAGACAGGTGTTGCAGCAGCTCTATTTTGTATGTAATTGTATCATTTACAATTCCCATCTGAAGAAATTCAATCACTTTAATGTAATTAGCCCTAGCAAATGTGCTGGTAATGTGACGTGCAAGATGTTGGAGCGCTAACAGGAGGAAAGCTGTCAGATGGACACCCGAGTGTGCGGTCCTGTCGGGTGAGGCTGGGTGCCACGTTAGGGAGCTGTGGTGGGTGGGATCCCGGGCTTTGGGTGGTAAAACATGGCAGGAACTGCTCAGTGATGATGTGGCACTCAAAATGGTTCACACCCAACGCACTGAAGAAAGTAACATGGATGTTCTGTATTGACGCAAAAGTTGGCAGCCTTCTGAAATGGAGAAAGCTGTTGATTGTAATCGCGGATCAGGATGAGCTGCTGGAGTCTGAGCTGTTCAATAAACTCATAGTAACTAAATCTGTGTGGGTTATCTCAAAATCACATAGCATGTGTCTTTCCATAGCCCCACCATAGTCTTACAATTAGTGGTCTAAATACGATAAGCTCAGCACAGACTGTTCTTCAGTTGAGAGGTCATAGAATTCATCATGGGATTTGTGGTGTTTAATTCTAATCCATGGCAAGGTTGGTTGCAAGGCAGCAATTTTACCACCCTGGCAAATGATTGATGAAGTGAAAGACTGAGCTATAGAATACTCAGGTCTTGTTTACTTATTAGCCATGCATCTAATGGATGTTTATAAATAGTAAAGATAGATCCTTTTTCCTCTTAATTGAAAAACTTATTTTTTTCTTCTGGGTTCCTTCTTAAAAATTGCTTTAAATTGTATTTCATAGAATTACCTGTCCAAAAATAGCAGTGGAAAAAACCAAAATGATGATTGCTGTCTGAAGTCACAGAGCAATGAGTGTGGTGCATGTTCAGTTCAGACAGTGGTGATAACTCCTTTTTTCTGCATTCTTGTGAATAATACCATACAGAGAGGGAAAAAAAAGCCGATACAGAGTAACCCAGCCATGTTCTGGGAGCAGTGGGATTTTACTGAGCATTCTAAACCAACCTGTAACTAAGCTGCAGAAAATCTGATCTGCTGTAAGCAGGCAGAGTTCGGTTATGATAGGCTGTGTCAGAATTAAGTGAGGGCTGAGAGTTTCTGCACAGTCAACGCTTAATGGGCATCTGGCCTCTGCTTACCTCTTACCCTCTGTCAGTCTCTTGGCTGCTCCGCTTGGTCAATAGAAAACAAAGATTAAAACTGTTCACTCTTTAATAGGGATCTGTCTTCCTTCTTGAGAGTGGGGAGGGATCATTAAAAAATCAATGAGAACGTCATTATTTGTTATTAAATCTGTAAAGGTTTAGAGTAATTCTTGTGGAATTCTATTACAGTTTTATCAAGATGTATTGATTTTGTCTTATTAAGCACTTTTCATAGAGGTCGCTTACTTTGGAACATTGGTCAAGTATATTGTTTCTCTTTCCAAGATCTATTCATCGCAGGTTTTATGACCACAGATCCCCTTTGAAGTGCTCGTTTAAGCAGTAATAAAATTAATGCACGTGGGTTTACAGGAAAGCAGGTTTAGCTGGTATGCAACAAGAAAACCTAGGAAATACTCTTAGATTTTGGCTTCTGTCAAACGAGTGTTTTCCATAGGATGCTTCAGCACAGACGAGCAGAAATTGTGCTTTCCTTTCTAGAGGCAGTGCATAGAAACAAACCCCAAAGTGGAACAGTGGAACAGCTGAGGCAGGGGGATTTTGCTACGTGGTTTCCTTAAAAGGTGGGAATCGCTGTTAGGTGCCTCCCTTGGGATAAATACACAGCTGGAGAGGTGTGGGGTCTCAGCCATCACAGCTCTGCTCTTTTCCTGCAGCTTTGTCCAGTTTTAGTCTGGAAAGTTTTCATTTCAAGCTGCAAAAACAACACTAAGGGCTGGACAGCAGTTTTGAGTACATGGAGATGACACATATCCAGGGTGAGTCTGCAGAATTGCTTACGTGCAGCACCGAGGCCTTCTATCCATGCTGTTGTTTTGCTTGCAGGTCGCAGCATGAAGCTTTGGGGTCACACTGCTCACAGCTTGTGGTGGTTTGGAGGCATTCTGGTGTATTTTTAGCAAAAGGGGCATATTTTCAAGCTTGGCTGCAGACAACGTTGAAGCTGCTTTCAGCCTGGTTTTGGAAGACCCCGGTGTTTATTTCTTTGGCGTCGATATGCGTTATGCTTTATGAGCAGTAGGCTTTGGATGCACCTCGTAAACAGTAGAGTCAGAATTAGCAAAATGTGTTCTGGTTGGGTCAGTAGGGCACAGAGCTAACATGAGGAGGCAGGTTGACCCCACTCCTCATTTTCTTTCTTGTTTGAAAACATCTGTTTACATGCTGTCTATTTTTATCCCATAGTACATGGGTTGCTAAGCTAATTTAATGAGGCCATATGTTTTTCTTCTGCCTCCATTTCATTGTGTGGGGTGCCAGATTGAGTCAATTTACCCACTTATTTCAGAGAGACAAATTGTTGGCCACGGTGCAGGGAACTTTTTTTCTCTTTCAGCAGGGTATGTATTTACTGCAACTCTTAACTGCAAAATCAGAAGAGCCAGGGATAGTTTAGTACTTGTAAGAGCTTGCTGTTTTCTTGTTTCCGCTGCCTGGAATCTTTATAAGCTGCAAAGCTATGCAAAGGAACAAGACAGAAAAGCTGAGATTTGTCTCTTTGGTGGATTTGCACTTTTTAGTATGTCAGGTAACTTACCCCGAGCCTCTCTGTGTGCAACCAGACTTTTTCAAGCCTTCTTTACTTGTGATCTGCCTTATGCTTCAGATCATCACAGTGATTCTGTGTGATAGCTTGAATACTTCAACTGTCTTCGTAACAAGAGGCAAAACTGCCTCGTAACCAGAATTTGAAATTTGATTACAGTTCTGGAAGGTTACATTCAAAACAGTGAATCTAGGCTGTCTCCTTAAGCAAAAGTTCTCACGTTGCTCATTGCAGACTAAAGACATAACTTGAAAGACATAGGAAGGCTCCACTCCGCCAGCAGCAGTGATGAATATCCTGCTATTGAAATACACTTGCTGGAAGAATTATGTAACTCTGAAGAGAATGAGCGCAGCCCCCTTACTGCACAGTGACTGTCAGGTTTGGGAAATTAGTATAATGACTCTCAGAGTAACAGATGAATATATCTGCTTTCCCCAGCAATACCTCCAGGCAGAGCTCTGTGCTGAGCTGGCTGGGAGGGCCAGGTGCTGCTGCTGACTTTTCAACTCATCTGTGAAACTTCAGGAAGGAAATCTGTCTTGATTGTGCCTTAAATGTCTTTGCTGGCGTAGCTAGAATTGTGTTGGCCAGGAATAAGAAATAAAACATTTTGCCTTAAAATGGACAAAGCTGCAATAGAGTTATCAGTACTGCAGATCATATATGCATGTATTTGTGATGTCTGTACTATCTGCTGTGTGTATATATGACACTTATGTGCGTATATATGTTGGCTACCAAAAGAAAAAAGGGTTTTTGTATGAGCATGTGCTCATGCAGTGCTGTATTTGTCCCACGCAGATACTTTCCTTACTAAACAGACAAGCAAAACCCAGAGCAAGCTGGGATGGTAAAAGGAAAAAAAAGTGGAGATGGAAAGCATGGTTTCACTGAGAGAGCAGGCAGAGCCTGGGAGCTCTGCTCATTGCAGTGCAAAGGCCAGATTGCTGGCATCACGACTACCTGGGGGATGTGCATATTGATAGGCAAGTATCTGTGTGCACCAGGGTTCCTTCAGGCTGTAAGGAGTCATCTCAGCTTTGAAAGAGAACAGCTGATGGAAGAGTGCTTAAATACAGGGGCAAACAGCAGTGCCCTGGGTAATTAGTGATTTGGACTAAAACTACCACTGCTCATTGGGAAAATAAATATTTCTCCTGGAGTTCTGTATGCTACTGTAAGGAAAACTCCGTTAAAATGAGGATGATCTTTGAAGGGTATTGTCTGTATTGTTAAGGAATACTTGGCTTGATTTGAAACTATTGGTCCGCTATGGCAGATCCAATTTATTACCAGAATTTAATGAACTGGAAAAAAAAAAAAAAAAAATCAAAGTCTCTTTTTCTTGGCAAGTTGAAGTGCTAAAGAGAGATAGGATATGAGCCAGATAAAAATTATGAAATACTCAGTGCTACACAGCTATGCAATATTTTGTTTCAGATACTACAGAACACTAAGCGCTTTGGTAAATAAAAAATAAAACACAGGGGCTTTGTGCCTGCACTGCCTCAGTGATGGACTGAGTCTGATGGGCCCGGGCAGGGAAACCTCCCACTGCAGGCTGTGGAGGTCATTTAAGCCAAGCACCCAGCTTTGCCTTCCAGTTACCTCTGCGAAGTTCTGTGCCACGTTTATTCCTCTGGAGGGGAGATGAAGAGACATGATGCAAAAGTATGAAGTTGTACTGATAATGGCCAACTGAGTGAGATGGAGCTGCATTCTCTAGAGGTCTGGAGAGGTTAATTAAAAAATTACAGTTGTATTGAGCTCCATCAGGTATCATTTATCTTCATTCCTTATCTGTATGTATCTAATCCGCGCTTCTTGCTTATGACTTTCTTTTTAATATTAATCTCTTCTACATGTATTTTACCTGGTTTTGTAACTCAGCCCGTAGCTGAGTACATCTTGCACGGTGCAGTTGAGGAGATAAAATGTGCAAATGATTTCCATTCTCTCCATGGGCCTCTCATGTGGTGGACAGACATGAACACGTGCCTGCTGTTGAAGGAGATGCGAGCAGTGGCTTTGTTCCTCAGGCTGCAACACTCACCATGAAGCAGGAGCCAAGACTGAGCTTTGTCTGTCTCCTCCTGCAGGGTTCGATGCCTACTTCACCTCCCGCACCCTGGAGAACAACAGGAGGAATGTGTGGTTTGCTGAGTACTGGGAGGAGAACTTCAACTGCAAGCTAACCATCAGTGGGTCGAAGAAGGAGGATACAGACCGCAAATGCACAGGTGAGTGCAGGCACTGCTCCCTCCTCATGCTGCTGAACGAGGCCGTGTTGGGCGGCTGCACGGCTGATGGAGGGAAGCTTGGCTGCAGGCAGACTGAAAAAATAAATTGAATGTTTGTTGGTTGTAGAGAAAATGGAACAGCAGCATCAGCCTCGAGGGACAAGAGTAGGTGAAGAGAGACAACATTTCATTCTTCTTTCTTCCTTTTTCTGGTTGTTCTTGTAGAAGGAAAATCAGTATTTTCCACAGGACCCAGAGGGACTTTCATCTGAGCACAGAGTAGCTTGCTGGGTTTCTGAAAGTTGGTTTTAGATGGAGAATATTCCATGCTTGAGCCTTTCGTGTGTCTACCAATCACAGAGTGACCACCAGCCGTGTCAAAGCAGCTCCTGCTCATAAGCCAGCAGAGTGGTGCTGCAAAACCCATCTGCCTGCAGTTTTGACTTTTGAGGGGGAAATCATACAATTAGGCTAGAAAGGACCTCTAGCATCATCCAGTCCAACTGTCCATCTTCTGCCAATATTTGCCACTAAACCATGTCCCAAAGTACTGCATCTACCCTTCCCTTAAACACCCCTAGGAACAGTGATCCAGCACTCCCTGAGCAGCCCGTGCCACTGCCTGACCACCTTTTCTGAGAAGAAATTCTTCCTGACATCCAACCTCCCCTGGCACAACTTGAGGTCATTTCTTCTTGTCCTATGGAAATGCACCTGTAGGAAAATAATGGCAGAGGATGAAATATTTTCATTTTCTATAGAAGAAAATTGTGTTACTTCAGTGATACTGGAAAAGTAGGAATGAGATTTTTTCAGTCACATTACCATCAATATCATAAGAGGGTAATTATAGCCAGCAATGTGACATTGGGCCTTTGCCTTTCCTTCCCCCCCTCCTTTCAGTTTTTCGTAGCAGCAGTTAAAGTGTTGTGTTGAATAATTGTGTTGAATTTTGATCAAAGAAAATTAGTTCATAGGAGGATATGTTTTACTTTGATTGAAAACTGATGAAAACTTTCCATATTTCATATCATCTGTTTCTGATTTCAATTCATGGATGGGAGTAGGAGGGCTGTGCACAGAAGCAGTGCGGTTCCCGCTGGGAATACGTTGCCATTAAATTTAGCATTTGGAATCTCCCTTTGAAGGCTGGAATTGAAATAAAAGTCACTCAAGAAAGATCTTGAGGATAATCCCTAAAATTTTCAGTGCCCTTATTTTTTCTGCAATTATTTTGTTAGAAAAGTGGGTGAGTTGCCCACAGATTGTGCCTTCTGATGCCAATAAAGAATGGTTTTCACCCTTCCCACACCTTAGGTTCAGCAGAAACGTTTATTTTTGCTGGCTAACTTATCCTATTGCACTGCAATACCACGTTACAGCTGGGTATTGCACCAGTGACATGCCCTGCCCTGACATCTTCCTTCCCTCTTGTACAAACCGAGGTAAATCGTGCATCAGAAAAAACATTAGCTTTGAATTATATTGCTGGTATGAGAATCTTAATGCCCCTTTCGTGTGATAATATCATGAATGATCATCATTATTTTAGAACTTGATTGGTAATTTGTAATGCAGCGAGGTACTGGGCCACAGGCCATCAGTTTCTGACGGCGCTCGTGCTGCTGAGCACTGGGGCTCCTGCTCCTCAGCTGAGCTCGTGCACTTTGCAGGAGTCTTTGGCTCATACGGGTGTACGGAGGTGACAAAGAAAGGCCCCTCCAAGAGTCTGCCTTGTGGGCACCTGGCATTTTAACACTGCAGCTTTCTGAGGGGTCTCCACACAAAGCTTGTAACATCAGTTATGCATGAAAAATTTATCCTGATTGGGATGGATAGAGGTAGGGTGAGAAAATTAGAGTGCATTTAGCACACCATGCCTTATTTCTAGACAAGGCTAAATGTAACGTATTGCTGTAATTAACGCTGTTTCTGGCGAATGACTGACTTTGGCATAATCCAGGACACGATCCAGCACTGCAAGTCGTGCCACTGCCAAGGACACCTGTATTGTTGTGCAGCAATTTCTGCTGGGATGCAGGCCATGTCACAGCAGTGTGGATGTGTACAACAGACAGCCAAGCTGTCCCCAAAGCAGAGAGGGATCCGTTCTGCATGCACCAAACAGCACTGCTTCAGCCAGGTGCTGCCTTTGGGGCTTGCCAGCCCCTGGAGCCGCTGCCTCTGTCCTTGAGGAATGCTGTGATTTGCTTTTGAGGACACTTCATCAAACTCTATGGGGAATCTCACGCAATCACTGGAGCAGCACAATAGTACAAAGTATTGGTTTCAGACAGTTCTTTGTTGGTTTACTTCTTGCTGCTTACTTTCCAGAATACCAATGACTCCCTTCAGCCAAAACAGGCCACGTCAAGGTAATGCAGAAGTATTTTAACAAAAATGAGTCTTTAGTACCATGCATTGTGGCAAAAGTGTTTACATGCTTGTTTTTAATAGGGAACATCTAACGGAAGAAGGCAGCTGCTTTTATAGAGAGCAAAACTGTAGTAAATATGTGTGGGGAGAGCCTTGCATAATGCTCTGCTCGCATGCATAGAGGTGAGGAGGTGTGTGCTTTGGTTATGAGCTCAGCTGAAACGTTTCAGTGAGGAAAAACCGAGTTGTGCTGGTGCCTTCAGAGCTCTGAGATGAAGGGAGCCAGAATTAAGACACTAAAACAGATGTTTGTGTACATATTGCCATGAACCAGGTTGTACGTAAGTTTCAAAGTGGTTACTGAAATCAAATGCGCAGTGCAGAATATTTGGAATTATTGCACCGTAAGCTCCTGCCCCATTGAGGCTGTGCCTGCAGGTTGCTGTGCTAGCAGTATGGCTGTCCCATGGGTGCTCCCATTTGTGTGGCTGTGGACTGTTTCCTGCTCCAGAGGAAGCACCAGTGCCCAAGTATGGCAGAAAGGTGCCCACAAAAGAAATGCAAGGACTTGCAATGCCCAGCAGCATCAGCTACACGAGGAGGACCTGCATTTTTAACGAAATGCCATCCTGGAGTGTAGTGCTAACTGAAAGGGAAATTGCAACACTTGACTGTTTTCACTTTTTAAACATAGCTTTTAATTCAGGAGGCTTTACACTCAAGGAGACTTAATGAAGAGATATCAGGGTGGTGTCACCTTGGATGTCATCTCTCAGAGTGGAGACTGCTCAGAGAGCTTTTCTAATTATCTGGAAGTGTAATCAGTCTGATGGCACAGCCCTGATGTTGGCTGAAGCAATGACTTGCTCTAAAGAAAATGCTGGGAGAAGGCTGCCTGCGAGCCAAAGTGACAGAAATGTAGCAAAGGCCTTAGTGAAAAAGGGAGCGTTGTGCTTAGTATTTGAACTGGAACAAGAGAGCTTGCCTCCAGGGAGCAACCCGTGGTCCTGCAGTGTTTGGACTGGGGCTGTCTCTGTGCTGTGCACTCTGAGCACCTCGTGCAGCATTGGGAGTGCAGATCCCCACATTGCAGTGAATGGGGGGTGAGCTCCTGTGCCCCAAAACCCTGGAGGTGCATCTCTGGGCTGTGATGGGTCAGAAGGAGGGGAGGGTGGCACCTGGTGGCAAAGGTGCTGCACTCACATTATGGTGTAAGGAGCATCAGCTGGGAAGCCTTTCTCCTTTCTCTGGACATATGCATAGTATCTCCTTGCTAGTGAGTACCTTATTTATATGTTTGCAACGCACTGCCATCAACAACTTCTGCTGGCTGGCTCTTTCTCCTCTGACACACCGTCTTTCGCATTACACATGGCAGCAGTTGTAGGTTCTCTCAAAGTGTGGTGTTTGCAGGGAAAAATGATCCAAGATGGAGTTTTACTGGAACACGCGTTGGTTTGTTGCTGAGATACATCTCCCAGCTGCAGCTCATCTCTGGGGGACTCCAAGAACTTTCTGGGCCAGTGCTGCTGTAGCTGAGAGATGATGTGAGTTTGGTTGGTTGGTGAATGTTTGTTCCAGTGTGAAACTCAGAATTTTAGTCCTTCGCTTTGCATCCGATTTTGTGGGTACTTCAACAGTCTTTAGCCTGCTAAAGCTGCTTGTTGCTAACATCTGTCAGAAGGAAAATGTGCTGTGCAAAAGTTGAGGAGCAAATGAACCACGTTAAGCACCAGTGTGCAAGCTGACTGGCTCTTTGTTTTTCTGAACAACATATTTTTCCACAGAGCATTAGATCGTTCCAAGTCTGTGTTATAACTTAATGACCTGCAAACGTTCAGCTCAAACAGTTAATCTCGTGTAGCATCACAGTACTTCAAAACATACAGAGCCCAATTTCCTGAAAGAACCCTGCAGTGATTGATTCAACCAACATTAAACCAACCTTGAACAGTTTATTCTTAAGGTAAACCAGTTTTATGGTTCTCTAAACTCTATTATCTTTCTGAAATATATTTCTTAATGGTGCTTTTATTTCTAGATTGTCAAGGTGATTTGACAACAAAGCCCTGCGATTCTATGGCTCTCTCCTTGCTATTTACATATGTTCCTCTATTTGCAAACTATGATTTTAACCAGGTGCTTAAATATTAAGATGGCTCTAATTTAAGCCTTCTAATATTTAAGTGCTTCTTCAGTATGTGTCCGTGGTCACTGACTTCACCAGCAGTTACTGCTACAAGAAGCTTGCTTTATTTGCACGTTGGGAAGTTGTAGCTGTGAAGTGGCAGTGACTTGCATTGCTGGTGCTGCCTTCTTATGGCCGTGGTGCTTCAGTGTTGGAGTACAAATGACAGCTATTGCAGATGTTTTAATAGGACTGCTGAACGCACAGAAAACACACTGAATAAGAAAGTTGGGTCAGTTTTCTAATCTAAAATCTGTTCTCTTAGATGCACATACACACCAGAGAACAGAAACTGCTACAGTGGGTTGAATCAGTGTAATGGAGAAAGAATCAGTATTAGCTGAGAGGTGTAGGTGAAGCTGGCTACATGTGCTTCTGAGTTGGTTGGGTTTTGGTGGCATTACTGGAGCCACTAAGCACAGCTGTATGTTGACAA